CTGGCCGTGTCGGTGCTGGCGCAGTCCGCGGGGGCGACGAGGTGCGGCGGCGGTTCGCGAAAGCAACGTCCTGCACGAGAAGTCCAAGGGGAAGACGCGCGAGGGCCGCCGACGACAAGATGACCAGCGGGGACGTGCTGTCCAACCGCAAGATGTTCTACCTGCTCAAGACCGCCTTCCCCAACGTGCAGGTGGGTGGGTGCCGCGAGCGCCGGGCGCGGGGGGCGCGGCGGGCCGGGAGCGTGGGAGCCCGGGAGCCCGGGAACGGGCCCCAGCACGTAGGCTCCTCCCCCCACAGCCCCAGGTCGGGGGGGGCCTCGCTCCCATTGCACAGATGGGGATGGGGATGGAGACCCTGGACTGGAGATGCTCAAGGTCACACAGTTCCTGGAAGAGCCGGGGGGATGGCAGGCCGTCTAAGGGCCCAGGCCCCCTGGCCCCTTCCCGAGTGAGTGTGCGTGGCCAGCATTGTGCCTGGGATCCGGGGCTTTCACATCAAAGGGCTGAGCTTCCCTTCACGGCCTGCCTCGGGCTCCTCTGTGAAATGAAAGGGCTTGCACTAGAACCCCCAAGGGCCTCCAGCCACCCCTGATTTCCTTGCTGGAAAGACGGTGACTGGATTAAGACACGTTTTCTGGCCGACCTACCAGGCATCAACGGAAGGTCAGCAACCGTGGAGGAGGTGCCATGGCGCGCGGCCCTGGTGGGATGGCTACTTGGTTGTAGTGTCATCAGGACCCTCTGAATGGCACCTATTCTGAGGGCCCTTCAAGGAACTTTTTGGCAGTATATTTCTCAGCAACTTCATTTCAACTGTCTATTCCCTTATTTACGCCAGGAAATAAGAATCGAAGAGCATTTGCTTTTTCTTTGGGTAGATTCCTGGTAAGGAATCTTTCTGGGAAGGCATTGCTGTATTAGGGAAATTCAGACATTTTTGGCTACTGGGAAGAAAAATTGTTTCTGGTGGAATGTAGTTAATTAGATCAACAATGAAATCTAACCCGGCGCTGCTTTGGGAGAGTTAGGAGAGTGTTGTCCTCATTCTAGTCTGTCTTATTATTTCTGCGGTTTTCTTTCTTCCTCTTTGTCTTTTTTTCCTTTTCTTTTCTTTTTTTTTTTTTTTTTTTTTTTTTTTTGCAGCAAGTAACATTGGCTTTCATCATGAGCTGCTGAATACCAGGTGTAATTCACACAGGAATTCTCAAACACAACGCACAACATTTTCAATTTTTCTTTGGCCCTACCCTGCTTTATCACAGTTTATACTTGCCTGTGTTTGCATCTCTCTGGTTCCCTAGAGTTGGGAGAAGAAACGGGAGTTTCAGAGAAGTTGACATAGTTGTAACAGTAGCAGTAGTAACAGTTTATTGAGTATATTCTAGGTGCCCAGATCCTGGCCACACAGGACTTCATTTGATCCTCACAGCGACTTCAGAAGTAAATTTTATTTATGCCCACTTTACAGATGGGAAATCTGAAGCTCATGGCACTTTACTGCATAGTTTATATCATCAATCTAACTTCGTTTTAGCTAGATCTTTAGGAGGCTACTTAAAATAACTTATAGTGTGGTTTCCTAGGGAAACAAAATTGTACAAGCTTAAAAGCAATAATAGTGAAATATGGTAAGCAGAGTTGAATTTTTTTAAGGTAAAGATAAAAATATTCTTAAATATTGAAAACATAAATCTGTTTGTGCATGTGTGTTCACATGCCAACTCCACCCACTCCACTTCTGCCAAAGCTTTTGTCTTGGGTAACTTCCACAGGATTCTGAGTTTGCTTTCTCACTTATTAGCAAACACTAAGGGAACAGCTGCCAAAGATAGAGAGCTGCCTTTTATTAAACACTGAAGCTAAACTTTCAGAATTGTAGATGTTGAAGTCTCCTTGTCTGCTTGGGATTGTTTGAATGTTTGCATGTAGTCTTTAGTGTTCATTTTGGATGGTGATTGGTGGAATAGAGGAGGTTATGTTCATTTCCAGTGGTTCTCAACCTTCTGGCCCTTTAAATACAGTTCCTCATGTTGTGACCCAACCATAAAATTATTTTTGTTGCTACTTCATAACTGTCATGTTGCTACTGTTATGAATCGTAATGTAAATATCTGATATGCAGGATGGTCTTAGGCGACCCCTGTGAAAGGGTCGTTTGACTGCCAAAGGGGTCTCGACCCACAGGTTGAGAACCGCTGATTATACAATGCCAAAATAGGATAGTGTCCTGTTGAGCTATCTCCTTTTATCACTATGTTGTTAGACTAGAGGCCAAATGTTGTAGCCATCTAAGTAGGGACTCAGCCATAGATTCTTTTCTTTCTTCACTCCCTTCCCCCAACACGCAGAAGTACAGTCTTAAATGTCTGGTTGTTTTTGAAGCCTCACCTGCAATTTCCACTCAGTTTATTTTCTTATGGAAAATTAGCATCAAGAAACCACAGATACTCTTTTCTTTTATACTGGTGCCCGTGCAAATGGAAAGAGGTCTCTTCTTTTCTCCTACGACTTTCCTAGAGTAAGATGCTTGAGCTTTCCAATATATTTTAAACATCTGTGCTTTGTTCTCATACCTTTTCTAAAATTACTTTATTTTTATTGATTTCGGAAAGGGAGAGATAGAAACATCAATGATGAGAGAGAATCACTGATTGGCTGCCTTCTGCACGCCCCCCCCCCCCCCCCCCTGGGGATTGAGCCCACAACCTTGGGATGTGCCCCGGACCAGAAACAAAACTGGGACCCTTTCGTCCACCGGCCAACAGCTCTAGTTACTGAGCCAAACTGGCTAGGGGGAGCTTTCCTAAAAAAGTTTCCCCCTCAGAAAAACAATATAAGATGTCACTCTAGAGCAAGCATGTCCAACTCCCAGCCTATGGGCCGCATGCCTCAATTATTTGGGCCCTGTTAACCTTTTTGAGATTGACATGCCTGCTCCTAGAGCAGTGGGTCCGGAAAAACCCGGTTCAGAACCAACAGAGGCTGTTAGGTCCCTTTTTGGGGTCCGTCCACAAATATCTACATACTCGCACGGGTCAGAAAGAGTAAACTTCTCCTATTCAGTCGGGCGTGCATGACGAGTTTATGTTCTTCGAACACACAAAGAGACTTGATGGGTGAGGGACGCGATATGAGTTTTTTGGCACCACTACTTAAATACGATTTTGTTCGCTTTAATGGGAAATATGTGAAAGAAT